CCACACTCCCCAAAAGGGGAAAAAAAGTGAAAAAAATATTTAATATGGGGTTTTTTTTTTTTTTTTTTTTTTTTTTTACCATTTAGCGAACAAATAAAGATTATTTCTAGTCTGGTGACTCATTAAATTGAAGTGCATATGTTTATTAGGGAGTTAACTGTATTTTCTTGTATTTAAAGAGTTAAATTGTGAAAAATGATAAAAGCCTTTTATTCATTACTGACTTTATCTCTGTTATCTCAGTTATTGTGGAGGTGAAATACTTTTTTATAAAAGCTTTTTCAGATTTCCAAAGAAAGACGGTGTAATTTCAGAGTTTTGAGCGGACAGTGAACGCAGCAGAAGCTCCGCCCCCTCGGCAGGTGTACTCTGCACCTTGTCCGGCTGGTTTCGTCAGGCGGAGACAAATAGTTGCAGAAAGGTAAATTTGACTGAAAACAATGATTGTTTATAACTTTATAGCTTCACTGTCTTTAGATCTGAGCTGATGTTGCGTTCAGGAGCGAGAAGCCACCTGTCTGACGTGTGTGTGACCTGTCTGACGTGTGTGTGACCTGTCTGACGCTTGTGTGTTTTGTCAGAATGGCTCGCCTGGCGCTTTTCCTCCTCCTGGTTTGGACAGGATCCCATCTGGCCGGAGCTTTAGTCTGTGAGTCTCCAACTCTTTCTTATTCTCCGTAAATAACGCGAAGTTTGAGTCAGAAAATAAACGTTTAATCACAGGAGAACGACACTGCTGCCCCTAGTGGTCAGCGCGTGTAAATACACTGGAGACGCAGCTGCTGCAGTGTCTGTAAAATAAGATAAACTTTTATGATTGTCATTTTTCTTCACTGCCTTACATTCTATCCACGTTTATAATCCAACATGGAATATTTTTAAAAATAATTATTTTTGATAATCAAGTATCTAAAAGTTTTTATTCTATTCTTTATTGCATACATAATAATACAGTTTTTCCAAGAAAGTTTTACATTTATATATTTTTTTAAATGTAAATTTCAGCAAATGTGAGTTTCTCTCAGTTAGTTATGAGTTTTATATCAAAAATATTTTTTTTCAAATAACCGCAGTATCATGTGTTGGTTGTAATGTAATAAAATTTAAGTTCAAATTTGACATTATATTAAAAAGTCGCTTTGAAAAGATTACTTTTTTATTACTTAGATTATCAATCAAGTCTATTAAGCAGAACAGGAGAGTTTTTATTGTTTTACTGTGGAACGTTGTGCATCTTTGCAGGGACAAATTAGTTCATGTTTATGAATAAACTGATTATCAAAGTGAACAGCTGTGAGATTTTGAGAATCAGGCCTTTTGGATATCAAAGAAAATAATAATGCAGCCTCAAAGGAGAAGGTTGCTAGATTAATTTCACATATTTTCAAGAAAAAAAAATACAATTGCAGGAAAAATATAAATTTTTAATGATTAAAGCTTAAATCTTCTGATATTAAACCTACAATATTCTCTGACATTTATCTGAAAGATAAAAACATTTCCATCAGTCTGAACCTGAACTGGAGCGTTGAAGCTCCTCTCTTCCTCTTCCCTTTTCTGCTTGAGCGTGTTGGTGAACCTTCCTGTTGGACAGATTTAATTGTTTTTCCAGGAACGTCTCTCGCCTGCATGCTGCTTGTTTCTGTCCAGCGTTTCTCAGAAATCCAGCACCGCTCCGTGTTTCTGGAGGCCGATTCCTCCACAGATCAGCTTCCTGAGTCGCTCTCACTTCCAGCTGCATCAAGGATTAACTTCAACGATGTTTCAGGAAAAACAATGTCTAGAAATCTGCAGCTAAAACCTCACATGGTTGTTTACAAAACAGTTTACGCATTGTAAACTGAAAAGTGTGGCGTACATTTTTGTTCACTCCCCTCTCAGTCAATACTCTGCAGCTCCTCCTCTTGGACTTCTGAGCTTCAGCCTCACAGAGCTGCCCTCCCCTTCCCCACTGAGCTCCTTCAGACTAGCCAGCAGCAATTAGCAAACCTCTGGTGGAGCCGAGTATCTGCTGAGCGCATCATAGCAGCTCCTTCTCTGGTTGAAGGGGTAACAGAAAGAGCAGGAGTTTTTAAAGAGACAGTGGCCCAATTTCAACATGTTAAAGTCATATTTCATATATGCAGCATTTTCATAATAACTGATGTTAACATAGTTACTTGATTGTGCTGGAAAACACATAAAACTGCCCCTTTAAAAGTAGACTCAAGTTTTCCAGTTCTGAATTTTTCTCTCAGTAAAATATTTAAAAAAGTTCCTATAACTATTTAGAAAATACAAGTTGTATTTGGGACCAATTTCTATAAGCGATAATGTTGTTTAGAGACTATTTACAGTAAAACAATTTTAACGACATATTAATTCTCAAAGATGGATAAACTTTAAAATCTAATGAACATTTAACAGAAAGACATTTTAAATACCCAAAATAAATGAATGAATTATGAAATCTCTAAAAACAAAATTGTGCTTATAAAAATAATCTAGTTTGAGACCAAAATACCAAATTTAAGAATTTAATCAACCAGATAAAAACAGTAAATCATGAAAATGGAAATGATTGAGTTTGCTTTAATCCATTATGTGATCAATTGATTGGTCTGTATTTTACCCAGCATGCATTGTTTCTGTCTTCTGTAGTTGAGATCCACATCCGGGTGGTTGAAGGTCGGGCCGTCACCCTGCCGTGCCGCGCTCCCAACATGGAGGACCCCGTCAAATACCTGGAGTGGAGCCGAACCGACCAGAAGATGTCCTACATCATTCTGTACCAGGACCAGCACTTCTACCCGGACTTCCAGGACCGGGCCTTCCGGGAGCGAGCCGTCCTGCTGGACCGGGACATGAAGGAGGGCGAGGTGTCTCTGGTTCTGAGGAACGCCTCGGCGGGCGACAGCGGCGTGTACGAGTGCCGGGTGGTGCAGGCGGTGGGGAGGCGCCAGAAGAGATCGGTTCTGATGGCTGAGCCCAACATGATCATCAAGCTGAGAGTCAGTCCAGAAAGTGAGTCCGGGCCGAAGCCCTCAGGTCTGACGCTTCTGGTTTTATTTTCACTGCTGACTCTGGTCTGCAGATCAACTCCATGACGACGACGACGCCTGGCTCAGCAGCAGGAGGAACCAGGATGAGGACGGTGGTGATGAAGATGATGCGTTCGTCCAGCAGTACCTGGCCTTCCTGCTGCCGGTCGTCGCCGTGACGGTTCCTCTGCTGGCGCTGACCACATGCAAGTTATTCAGATCCTTTCTGTTGACGAGCTACAGACCCGCCTCCAAGTGACCCGAGGAGGAAATGCTTCTGACAGCTTCCTGTTGGCTGTGGAGAGGAACGCTCTGCGACGCAAAAACACAAAATATTACCGAGTATTTTTAGTCCAGTTTCTCCACCTGAAGCTAAATGAGCGACTTTATATGAAGAGCATAAAACTGATACTTTAATTCCAGGTTATCGATGTTAAGATGCTGTTGGGGGTTAATTTCACATGATCTGGTCTGTTTGTTAAAGACGTGAAGTCAGCCTCAGCCTGAGAAGGTTTGAGAATCACTGATATAGAGTCTTGTTTTAAGTCAATAGTTTCTTAGCATTGATTTTAAAAATCTACTGATTTTAAAAATCTACTGATTCCACTGGCAGATTATTTCACTTATAAGTGAACTAGTTTTTTCTTTATTAACATTAAGGAATGACTGACCTAAAACAAGCTGCTGAAACTTCCCTGAGTTCGTTTTGTCTTATTTCAGCTCTATTAGGATATTTGCTCTACAAACCACTAAAAATACTTGTTAACATTTTGTGTTTTTCCAGTTCAGTCTGGGTTTTGGTAAAGATGCTCTCTGGAGTTCTTCGTCTGTTTTGCTTGATTTTTTTTTGCTACATTTGGTTCAGAGAAGCGTTTTATGTTGAAGGGTAAACGGTTCTTTAATGATTCTGTCGTTGGCTTTCATCAAGGTGCTTCTATTACTTTGGGGACGGGCGCAGGCGTCGCACCGCTTTGCATTCTGGGAGTATTGTGGCTTTACTAGCTGCATCTTGATAAAAGTTTTTTAGATGAGGAGAAATCAGAAACACTTTTACTGCCAGGTCTGCTAGTTGTTGGAGGCTGAAGTGATGAAAAAAAGAGAAAACTAGATGAATTATTGTTTTCATTGTTAGAGAAGTGATGACCTGTGATTTAGCTTTAAGAGTTTTTTAAACAGGTGTAAGAGTTTCCTTTAAGTGGTCCAAATGCACTGAACGGGTGAATGCAGACGGTGTTTTGAGAGTTTCTGTTAAAGTACGTAGGTTTCATGCTGGTTGGTGTTTCTGTTTTTTATCTGTTCCTGTCTGTAAACGAGCCTCCAGCCTGCCAGCTGACATCCTGCTGTTTACAGAGGGAGGTTTGTGTTCTGTCTCTGGTGTCGATGTGAATGAGGGCTAAACAAACTGACCCATCAGATCCTGGATGATCTCTGTGCTCACTGGTTCACCTGCTTTGGGGTTTGGTGAAATGTCTGAGTTGGTGATCAGGTCTCAGGGATAAAAACGTGATTTCCTCCTCATGATGCTGAAGCATCTTAATGACGGGTAGCTCAGCTGGAAACCTGCTTATTAAAGATAAAACATATTTATTTTATGTGTTTATTTATATTTCTGGTATCTAAATGACAATTTCCTTTGGTTACTGTTAGGATCTGAACACATTAATACTTTGTCTGAAACTGAAGCCTGGTTCTGCAGTTAGCTTAGCCTCCAACGTAGCATGAAGCTCCAGTGTGATGTAATCGTCCCATTCATCATGGCGGTGTTCCACAGGGCTTTCTGTTTGGTCCTCTGATATTTGCCTCTGATTTTCTTTCCCTTTGGTCCTAAATGAATTAATTAAAAGTAAAACAATTACATTAAATTTTAACATTGCTGCATTGATAATTTTCCACTGTATTTGTTGTTTAATAATCAGATTTAATGATTATTAAACAAACTGTACCGATACTGTTACTGTAAAACTAAACTAACAAAATTTTATTTCTCAGTTAAAATAAGATTAATTAAAAACAGTTTTTCATTCTTATGGAAACCCTGAAGGGCAGGTGTTTATTTTTATTATTTCTCCACCTATTTTCTGAAATGGACCATTTAGTTTTCTTACATTAAGTTTTCTGAAATAAAAAGTGAGGAAGGTTCTTATGAATGTAAAACATATTTTTAATAAAAGGCAAGTGAAAAAGCTGTAAATAGGAACAAAATGACTTTTTCTGAATTTTGAAAATGTTTTATTCATTTATAAAAGAACTTTTTTAATAATTCATTGAAAACAACTAAAGAGATCCGATTTGGTATGTCTGCCATTAGAAACAATTATGTGAACTTTGACCTTTTACTTTCACAATAAGACAGATTGTTGAATTTACTAGGAAATCACATTTTTAAATTAGTATTTTTTAACAAAAATGTACTTCCCAATAATCTCATCCATTTTTTTACTCTTTAATCACATGTGGGCACAATGACACCGATTAAATTATTTCAATAAAACTTTTGCATTTCCATCACTTGCGCCCCTTGTGGCAGAAAGGAGTATTACAATAACAAACACATGAGGAAATCAATCTGCTCTGAGAAGTTCACAGTCTCTGTCATATGATATTAAATCCTCTTTGCATGTTTATTTAAATCTGTTTTAACAATAAATCTGAAACCAAAAGACATAGAAGTGTCATTATATGACCTACAGAAAGAGCATAATCATATTCTGTACAGTTTTTTTCTTTTTTCTTTATTTATTTTTTTAAAAACTTTTTTTAGTTTGATTAATTTTATTTGGAAAATGAGACATCAGTTTCCAGAATCCACCTTGTTGACCAAATACTTAGTTTGCTCATTTATCAGTGGATGTGGTTTTATTTCAGGGCCTCTGGTGGCTAAATGGAGTATTACAGAAACAAACATCTGATGGGGCAAAATAATGTTTAAAGTATTTAAACAAAGTGCCAAAAACAATGAGACACAGTAGAAGTGTTGGGATTGAGAACATCACTGATGCTTTTCTTCTGCTTGCCTTTTGTTGACTATAATAGTTTTTCATGAACAGCTAAAGAGACTTTTTTACAGGAAGATTAATTATCTAATTAAACTTTGCATTTCACTTGTCTTTTCAAAACTTCCTCAGATTTTTAATGTTTTTATTTAAACTCGGCTGGTTTTTCTCTAACTCAAACATTTTCTTTGTTATTAATCAGATCAGAAATATTATCAAAACCCAACCAGAAGAAGAATCGCTCGTCTCGATTTAAACTCTGACTTTCATTGTTTGAGTTTTTCCTCTCAGACCCGGCGGCAGTGACCCGTAGCTCTGCTGTGGTTCTGGAGAACCGGATCACCAACAGGTTTGGGTTTAGTTCAGAGGTTTTTATTAAAAACAGTCAAATGTTCAGCTTGTTGTTTGAAGATGTCGCTCCGTTGCTGTTGGGTTTTACGTTTCTGGTCTTAAAGAAAACAAAGTCATTTTTAAAGGTTTGTTCCTTCAGTTTTTCTCCTTAATGGATTAATGAATTATCTTTTAATACAAAGAGCCATAATTTCTTTAATGTGTCTTTATTTGACCTGTTGGATGTTGACATTATATGTATTTTTTCTTTTTGTTGGTTTTAAAATAAAATATTTTTTGATTCATTCATTGTTTTCTGCAGAAATATGAACTTCATGACGTCCATTTTATGTTTGGTTCAACAGCAGAGTGAATTTTCTAGCAGTTCATTAATTAATTAAACTCATTTCTCTGTTTGCGTGACTGATTCTTGTTTAACTGATTTAACGGTTAATATCAAAGACGACTAAATGAAACATTTGACGAGAATCAAAATTTGCATCAATATTTGGCTTTTGAAGTTAATAATTCTCATTGATAATTAAATTATTAATAATAAAATTAGTTAGTTGAATTGGGGCAACAGTTCCAAAGAGCCATGTTTGGTATTTTCTCTGGATGAATTCAAGGCTGAGAAACAGAAACAAAGAGTGATTGAAGCAAAAACATTCAGTAATAAATTCAATCAATCAACTTACTGAAGAAGACATTTAGCAGGTAAAACATTAAATTACAAATTACAATGAAAGGTCATGAAATACTGAAAAAACAAAAGAACACCTGGTCAACTCTAAATCTGTTTACATTTAAAAAAAATCTGTTTCTGGTTTACTTTGGAGACGTCATGAAGGTTTAGATCAAACATTTCAGAATAAAGTTAATAGACGTATGATAGTGAAGCGAGCTGAGACTTCAGAAGTGATGCTCTGTGGTGACATCAACGTAATCATCATCCAATCCCTGATCAGCGAAGGCACTTCCTGTCAGTGAGTTAAGGAAAAGAAAACAATGAGAAAATGTCAATAAGTCAAGCAATGATTGATTAATTTTTAGCCCAGTGATGTTTAGAGCGATACCTGATCTTCTGCATCGATATAAAGACACCATGAGGAGAGAGGAGATGCAGTACGGACAGAAGACCACCAGGTGGCAGAGCAGCCTGACCAGGAAGAAGGATGAGGCAGGAGGTGAAGAAGTTGAAGGTTTTTCTATAGAGAGAATCTGATCAGATCAATGTTGGAGAGAAAATGTTTGATCTGAAACTGAAGCTGCTGACCTTCCACAGAGATCCTGCTGGATGGAGACTCTCCCTGACCGCTGATGCTGCACTTATAGAGGCCTTCATCAGAGCTGGAGACATGGAGGAGGGTCATGTGACCTGATGGTCCATCACCAATGAAGGAGCCATCTTTATAGAAAGCAGCTGGGAGGTTGTGGGCTGGACTCTTTGCTCTGCAGCTCAGAGTGACGTCATCTCCCTCCATCACAGGGAGGACAGGACTCTGCAGGATCACTGATCCACCTC